CCCTGTGACACGCAAATCGGGGCACCACACCACAGAAGCCAGAAAGCGAGCCCTGGGCCCCAGAAACAAAGGAAATGCTCACTGAAGGCCCACAGCTTCCCTTTTTGGGGCCTGTCCCCACCTCTTCTCTGAGTCCTACCCTGCCCCCCTCCCGGGGAGGGGGAGGTTAATCTGGAGCTCCTGGGTTGGAGTAGAAAGTTATCTTACACAGTGCCTCATACTGTAGTGTTAAAGACTGTCTCATCAGGTCTCCTGAGGGGCTCTGTTTTGTAACCAAGCAGCGCTTACAGAGGAGACAGGGCTGACCCCTGTATACTTCAGCCCCTTGGTATAGGGACAGGAAGAAGTGTCAGTGGCAAACAGGAAGCCCCAGCCCTATTGCACCACCCGAGGAAGGAGACTAGAGTTGTGGCCTGGGACCCTGCCAAGTTCTAGAGATTACCAAAGATTCCACCTCCTGGTTCCTGAACCTGAACCTGTCCCAGACATGGGCAAAATTCAGGCTGCCTGGAAAGGAAACGGCACACCTTGCCTTCCACCTTTATTCAATAAAAGGCCCACTTACTGGCCAGGCCTGGGTCCTCTCTGGGGCCTGTTCAGCTCACTGACCCCCCCTTCCGCGAACGTACCTCCTCTATTCCCTTTTCCAGGCGTTCAGGACCCACCCTCACGGCTCTCCCAATCACTCCACTCAGGAAAGAGTCTGGGGCGTGGAAGGTATTTGGTAAGGGGTGGGCAGGTGGAAAAGGGCTTAGCTCAGGAGAACTAGCAGAAGACTAGTCTCAGGAGGCACCGTGACACCTTCCCCCACCAATCAAGAACAGAACAATCACACTCTTATTATTGGGCTAATAACAAAACACCAGATGTGAATCATAGACAGCTACCGTAAATGAGAGTTTACTGTGGGCCACCGAGTATCTGCTTTGGCTCATTTAATCCCCACAACAACCCCACGGAGAAACCTCAATATCCCCATTTTGAAGATGAAGCAAATGAGGCACAAAGAAGCGAAGTAACTTGTCCCCAAATACACAGCCAGGAGGGGGGTGGGGTCAAACCCCGGGACTGTGTGAGTTCTGGCAAAGCAGAAGCCTCTTGAGGTGAAGGTTAAAAAAGAGTTTTTAGCTAAAACTCAACTGAGCCAGCCGCATCCTTGAGGAGGGGTCACACTGGAGTGTGGACCTGAGGCTCTGGAGGGCTCATTAAGTACAGATTCCTTTCCCCCTCCCTACCCCCCCCCCAGCTTCTGATTCAGTCCTTCTGGATGGGGTCTGAGGATGTGCATTCCTAACAAGCAAGCTCCCCAGTGACACTCACACTGCTGGTAACAAGGCTCTAGAAGCTTTATCTTCTTCCTTACAAGAAAGAACCCACAGGGAAGGCTTCATTTTCACCATTTTACAGATGAGGAAACAGAAGGTCCCAGAGGTTAGGCAACTCGTCCCAGGTCACAGAGCCGACAGGAAGCCCAGGACTCCTTCTGTGATGCTCTGGCTAAGCGCTGGATATGGGGGGCTCTGGGCAGGGCAGGCAGGAACGAGGAGGGGAGGCTTCCGCTGCCAGCCACAGCGGGCCCGGTGGGCCTGGAGAAGGCAGGCAACTGAGTCAATGGCTGGACGGACAGGATGTAGGTAGAGCAGACCCTGCAAGGGGCCAGGGATAGAGACCCCCGGCCAGGGACTTAGGCACCTGCCACAGACCCTAAGTCACACCTACCCCTGTCCAAAGAATGAGCTACCGCTCATGTTCATGGGTCCCACAAAACACCTGCTCCCCCAACCCGGAAAAAGCCAGGGGGGCTGACTGATGACAGGTAGGAGGCCCCTGCTGACGGGAAACTTGGCTCCCATCCCCAGAGGCAGCCCCTGCCTGGCCCACCCTCTCCAGATGAAGAGCAGAGATTCCAGCCATGCTGAGCTCCCCGAGAGCAGCTTGATCTGCAAAGCCCCTGCTCTTCCTGCCGCCAACTGGGACCCTGGCCCGCTCTGCTCAGGCCTTCTGTGCACAGGGCTGAGTCCCCAGTGTGGCTGGAGCAGAGATCTGAGGAAATAGTCCTGGGATTCCTGCCAGAAGGGCCTGCCTCCCATTCCACACCAGCGGGCGGGGGGCCAGGTGAGTGACCTGGAAAGTCACCACTGGGACTCACCCAAACAGTCACCTCACAGGCCCGGATGAGCAACTACTTGCTTGTAGGAAAGTCCCACCAGTGTCCACAAGCTTTTGACCCTCTGGATGGATGTTTAGGAGGAAACCCAAAGGCCCTTAACCTCATATCAGAGAACCAGGGTGTTGGAGCAAGACCAAAAAAAAGGCATTAAGGAAGTAAAAACTCTAGACAGAAAAACCTGTGTGTGTGTCTGTGCACGCACGCGCGTGCGTGCGTGCGTGTGTGTGTGTGTGTGTGTGTGTGTGTGTAGAATTTAGACTGGCTCAGAGGAACCAGAGACCTAGAAAGCCAACCTTCCAATTTGACAGACCCACCAAAGAAGGACCTGTCACATCTGCCTCCCTAAAGCAGCCCCTTCATCACCTCCCACCAGAGGGGCTCTGCCAAGATTACCCCCTCAGGGGCTAAGATTCAGCAACATGCGAACTTCTGTATGGCTGAGGTGGGCTGAGGCGAAGAGTGGGAAGTTGGCAGAGGCAACACTGGCCCTAATAAGGCAAATAGACGAAGCATTCCTTGACCTGCATCTCCCAAAACCAAGGGCTATTTTATAGGGTAGTTTCATGTTCTACCTTGCGAAGGGCAAATTAAGCTTTCCTCCAGCCCAGTAATTATGGGATTTAGGTGGAACCCAGTCCCACAGGGAGGGCCTGAGGCCTGGATCAGTCCTTGTGCCTCGAGCCCCCACTCACTGTCTGTGGCTAGCCTCTCAGCTCTGCGGGGATGTGCTGACCTATGCGGGCAGGTGAGGAGGGGCTGCCTCCAGCTCCCCATTTCCTACAAGAACAGGTTTCTTTCTGGCCACTCTTCCTGTTTACTGAGTGACTTCTCGGAGACTCATCTCTGACCTCACTTCCCCTTCCTCGGGAACCCCAGCAGCTCTTCCTTTTTTGGTGCTAGAGGCTAAGATTGAGCTTTGTGTGCAGAGATCTTGGGGTTTCTGCTCCTTGCTACCTGGGGCCAGGAATGGAAACCCAAGAGCCAGGATTGCAGACTTCCTCCACTCCCCAACCTCCTCCCCAGCCAAGACGGGCAGGCTCCTGGCGCTCCAGAAGCAGTAAGGAAGAAAAAGCAAAGGACGAATCCAGTGTGCGCTGAGCCCTCCCCTGGGAAAGCCATGGGGGACAGGGGGTGATCACACCCACCCTCCTTTCATGTCCTTAACACCCTGTGTGTGGAAAAATTCACCCTCACAGCAGATCTCAGATCCTTCCTATTACCAGGAAAGGCGGCACATCTGGGGGTTTCCAGAGCATTTCCAGGAGGCTGAGGGGGAGTTTTCCACCAAACCACATTCATACCCTCTGCCTGCCCTGCAGCCAGTGACTAACCCTAAAGAAAAATCAGCACCATGAAACACAGAACTTCTCCTCCAAATGGGCTTCAAAGGCCAGCTCTGTAAAATCTTTACACTCCCCCGCCTGTCTAGGATTAAAAGAGCAGCCTCCCACCGGGCAGAGAGAAAACAGGCAGAGCCAGGTAAAGAAACTTCCAGAGTCCAGTGGGCAGGTCTGTCCCTCCCACACCTAAACCCTCACTGACTCGCTGGAGAGCCCGACAGGCCCTTCTGGGAGCTCACTTACCAAGGAACTTAAAGCTTTTCCCACAGAACAAGGTGTCCCACTGAAAAGCCACTTAATCCACTCCCGTGGCGCCTAAACAGAGCCGCATGACCTGGTTTCCCGGTTCTGGGTCCCGAAGCTTCCCAACCCCCTTTCACCTCAGAGTCGACCTGAGGCTGGAGCGTACACACCATCTCCCCTTCTCCCCACCCCACTGCACCACGTCCCTGATCACCTTGTCACATACACAAGAAAGTAATCCTTGTCCCAAACGTCTGTGTGATCAACTGTAGGATCCCATATGGAGCTTCAGGAAGAGGGCGCCGCCTACCTAAGGCTACCCCCCATCTCTCCGGAGCCCTTGGGGCCTCATGGACCCCACCAGCTAACGTCCTCCCTGCACGCCAGCCGCCCTCGCCCTGCCCGCCGACAGAACATTCAGCAGCCATACCCACGATTTAGCAGGTCCAGTTGAGCCCCAGGTTCTGGAACACACACAAAGTACACTCGAAATTGAAATGTTGAGGCTGTCATGCTCAACCTTCAAGAAAGATGGTCCCAATAACCCACCTCTACCTGGTTTGGACCTTACTCACTGCAAGACAGCTCTGAGGTTCAAAGCACGGTGAACCCCAAGTGCACCCACTCAAACTCACCACAGAAGCCGCCGTCTGGGGCCTGAGGCCCAGCTGCCAGCAACCAGCAAGCCACACCGGCGGCCAGCTCCGGGGGCCGGGAGCACTGCATTCGTCAGTGCCTGGCTGCCTGCGCCCCACCCCAGGGGAGGGTGGCAGGGGCGGGACGGATGGCCAGGGTCCCGGGGCCCTGCCTGAAATGAAATCACCCGGGACCAAACACCACCACTCTATCGCAGGGCTCTTTCTTTCCTTGTTATGTAAAACAAACATTTTTATTTCTTTTTTTTTTTAATCTTTTTTTTTTAGATTTTATCTATTTATTTTTAAATATTTTATTTATTTATTTGACAGAGAGAGACACAGCAGAGAGAGGGAACACAAGCAGGGGGAGTGGGAGAGGGAGAAGCAGGCTTCCCGCTGAGCAGGGAGCCCGATGCGGGACTCGATCCCAGGACCCCGGGACCATGACCCGAGCAGAAGGCAGACACCCAACGACTGAGCCACCCAGGCGCCCAACATTTTTATTTCTTTGACACATACAGAGAAGCAAAAAATTATTGAATGATTCCAATTCTATGAGCTACCTAGAACAGGCAAATTCACAAAGACCGTGCGTGGAATTGAGGTTACCAGGGGCTCGCGGGGCGGCAATGGGCAGCTGATGTCTGATGGGTACAGGGTCTTTGTGGGGGATGACGGAAGAGTTCTGGAGATGGAGACTGGTGATGGTCGTGCAAGGCTGGGAGTACACGTTATGTCACTGCTGTCGTCGGAATGTTTATGTCCCGCCAAATTCCTATATTGAAATCCCAACCCAAAATGGGATGGCATTAGGAAGTGGGGCCTTTGGGCATGATTCAAGGGGGTGGCTCCCCCCTCACCAATGGGATCAGTGTCCTTCTCAGAGACCCCGCGGAGCCCCCCCATCCTTCCTGCCACCTGAAGGTATAATGAGAAGTCTGAGATCCAGAAGAGCCTCCCACCCACCTGTACGGGCACCCTGACCTCATACGCCCAGCCTCCAGAACCGCAAGAAAGGCTTCCCTGGAGTGTTCAGCTCATTCAGTCTGTGATATCCTGCTGCAACAGACCAGACAGCCCCTGAACTGTGCACTTAAAAATGATGAAAAGGACAAATTTTCTATCATGTATATTTTGCCATCATTAAAGATAAAAAATAAAAATATTTAACTTAAAAGAAGACTAAGATCAGTATCTCCCCCAAATTTCACCACTCCAGAGACAATCACCATGAACATTTGCCTGTACATCCTTCCAGAGACAAACAGAGGGGAGGATATATTTTACAAAGAGCATGGTTTGGTAATGCTTTTGAGAAGTATCATATTTTCACATGGCAATAAATGCACATCGCTCCCCTATCTTTTTGGTAGCCCCATGGTATTCCAGTGCATAGATATGCAGGTCTTCCCTGCCACCCAAAAGCAGAGGGCTCCTATGAACGCATAAAGCAAAGGAACAATTACCATTAATTTATATGGGAAAATGTGTTAGCGTTCCCAGACCCCAAAATAACCTCTCTTAGGTTTTTCTGATACCTCGGGAAACATCTTGCTAACAGGTACACATGGGATCGATTCCCGCATCGGGCTCCTTGCTCAGCTTCTCCCTTTCCCTCTGCTGCTCCCCCAACTTGTGCTCTCTCTCTCTCTCTCTGATAAATAAATAAATAAAATATTTTTTTAAAAAATCCTCTTCGGATTTCTTTCTGTTAGCAAAACAGGTACTAACGTAGATCTTTCATAAAAACCAAGCGGCCTAAGGCAAACAACTTTGGAAAAGCGAGGGATACCTGGACCATAATTAACATGTTTGCTTTTTGTTGGGGTCTAGTCTCCATTTCGGTGGTTGTTATTATTGCAAAGAATGCTGCAAGGGGCATCCCTGTGCACATATTTTTTGCACTTGTCCAATTATATCCTTAGGATAAGATTTCCTACCTGTGCAATTGCTGAGTCAGGAACTCCCTCGGGAGGACTGTCAACAGAGCTTTAGGAGTAAAATCACAGCAGGGATGTCGAATTCTGCCATACAAAGGTCTCTTTCACCACGTGGACTTTTCTCGGCTTTCACTTGGGTGTCCGTGGCATTGCATAGCAGTTCAGGAAAGTAGGGACTGTCCTTTCCATAAGAAACCAGCCCCCTCCCTCCCCACCGCCCTGGCCACCTCCTCAGGGAACACACCACGCCTGTGTCATAAAAAGAAGCCGCTATACCAGGAAGGCAGACGGCGGCTCGGCTAATATCTGCTGACTGCCCCTTCGCTAGCAGGAAAGATCACAGCAGAATTCCAGGATGGCCCAGTGCCACTCATGCAGTTGTTCAGCATTTATCACTGGTCACAGCCTAGATGTGACAGCCACGAGCAGGTGCACTCAGTTTCCTCACCTAGCCAAAGGACAGCCTCTCTCCAAAGCGTTATGATCGGCCATTCACGGGCCATCAGAATACTCACTCCCAAATCTGCCAGGGCACCTTTTATCTTAACCAATGAGCAGCAGATGGCTGCCTGAGTGCTGTGTACCAGGCTCCCGTCTGAACGCACGTCACAATATCACCAGGAGATAGTTAGAACTGCCATCTTACACTTGGGGAAACTGAGCCTCAGAGGCCTTACATGACTGTTTAACTGCAGCCTAAAGCCTATCCTAGGTTGCCTTCCCCCCGAAGTTAACCCTAAAACAAGGATCCCAATGCAAGTGGAAGAGGGCTGGAAAGTGAAACAGGGAAGGGACAGCAGCCTGTGAAGGAAGCCAGTTACAAGGCAACTCTGATGGACAACATAGCACAAGCCCCCACGCCACCCCAGCAGAGAAGCAAGGGAGCTGGGGTATTTATATACCTTCTCTCATCAGTCGCTGGTTGAGGCCAAGGGAACACAGGAAGGATGCTGACAGTATCTACCACATTGCCCAATATCGTGCGGCTGGAAATGGTAAGATGCCATTCAAACTCCAAATCCAATACTCTGCATTACTGGTTCAGAAATGAGCAGTTGATCAAACACTTAACTGAGTGCCAACTAGGGGGAAATGTGACGCTGGTGAAATAAGCCTACTTGGCCAAATCACTTTGGATTGAGATGTCCAAGGACAGCACAGGTATCTTTTTGTCAAGTTTTATCAATGGGATGAATAGGAAAAGCCCTTCTATGTCACTTTGCTCATCTCACGGGAATTAGCCAAGAGCCCTTCCCTGCCCCCTTCTTCGGCGTAAGGTTTCCCTCTCTGAATCAGCCACAGCTGGCTTGGGCAGGAGTCCTGCAGCCTCAAGCTGTCATCCCAAGCAGATACATCAACCTGTGATTATAGGCTCCAGAGTCTGCCTGCCATCCCAGGAATGATCAAAAATGACCCACTGGACGCCCCGCCGGCTGAGTCTGGAGGATGTCCCTGTTTACTGTGCCCTGCTTCCCCTGTGCCTCCCGCCCTACCCTCTCCCTCCAACTTCACATACCCTCCATGGGAACCCACAAGTACGCCAAAGAACTGAAACCAGCAATCACAGGTCTGCAGGAGCTTACCCCACCTTAAGGACTCACTTAAAAGTCTTCTGGAGATGCAGGGAGGTGTTTAAATAGGACAGTGTGTCATTAGGGTAAATCACTGGACCATATTGTAAGGAGTGGTGGGAGAAACAGGGAGGTGGCAGAAGGGGACCGCTGCCCTAGTTTTAGAAACCCAGTGGTAGCAGCTCTTAGCAGCTCTATCTTGAAGTCAAAGACTGGCCGCCCTGTTCTGTTCCGAGCACACTGCTGAGACCTGCCCAGGTTCTCACCCTGGGGGAGAGAAGGAGACATGGGCAAGTCCCAGTCCCTTTCGCGCACTCCCAGCAGGATTCTCTGGCAGTCGGGTCTCCCAGTGAGGACACCTCCGGCCCGAGGATCCTAGGGAGTACTGAAGGCAATCATCCGGCCAAGTTCTTTTGTGCCGTGGGCCAGCCATCGGCCCTCCAGCAGAGGTGCCAGGATGTGCAGTGCTGGGCACCTCTCCAGCCAAGTCTCTTGGCCATTCCTAAGCAGCTCACGCACAGAAGGCAGACACGAAGCTTGGCTCCGGGGCCCCGGGAAATAGACCAAGAAATCAAAGCAAAACCAGGGGGTGACTGAAAGGTCCCTGGCAGGACAGCGCAGCTGAGAAACGGAAGGCTTGAGGGATGGAAAACAGGTGTAGGGCATCTACCACTGCTAAGTGACCTCTAGGAGAACACAACTGGAGAGAGGGCCTGCGGCCCTGAACAGAAGCTGTGTAGAAATGCAGAGACGGGGGCTCTAGAGCCCCGGGGGCGGGATAAGATCCCCCTCACGAAGATGGGGATCCTGCCACCCGAGGCACAGGTACACACGCCCGGGGCCCACGCAGTCAGGTGCAGAGGGCACCCCTTCCCCACCCCACCCCCGCCTTCCCCTGGAGGGGGGCATGCCCAGGGGACCCACCCAGGTCACCTGGCCTCCTTTCAGCCAGGCTCCCTAAAGATGCCCCTCATTCTAACTGGATTTCAACAGCACAAAAATGATAGCAAGGAACATGGGATACATCTCGGCTCTACCCCAGCGAGATCATCCTGTCTCCCGATAGGCCACCCCTGCTCTCCTGTGTTCTGAAAGGGGGGGTCTGGTTGTGAGTCCTGGGCACACAGCCTCCCCAGCCCAGCCCACACTCCCAGGTGCCCACGCGGGCGACATCTCTGGCTCCCTTCCTTCTAGCCAGGGCAAGAACCACCTACCATCCTTCCCAAGCTACCCCACCTCTCCGAGCTCAGCCACCACGTGAGGCCCTCTTTTAGTGGGCTGCCCGGTCCAGAGGAGAAAGCACAGCTGGTGCCCACACTCACCACCCCACTCCAGGGTCTCTGATCCCAAGTGGGCACCTCCCAGGCTGACTCCACACTTAGTCCCTGGGACACCGCCTTTGGACACATGTTAAAACAAAACAAAACGAAAAAACACCTCCCCTCAAAAAGCCCAATCTATCTTAGCCATGAGAAGTGTCTTTAATTCCTCAGACCACCTGCAGAAAAAGTTCCCAGTAAATAAGTGCAGACTGGTAAGTAAAATAAATCCAACCCCAGATTCCTTCTCCAGAAGGTCTGGAAACAAGGCCCCTGGCTCTGAATCCCAGCTGTTTAAAAGAATCATTGTTTCCAATTCTTTCCTCCCATTGTACCAAGATCAGCTGGGGCAGGAACAGAGTCCCACTCCAGGATGAATTATTATTTGGCAGCTCCCTGGTTCAAATTTTCATTCATCACATGAAGGTACTTACTAGAAACCTGGCCCACGCTAGTCACCGCCTCCGTCCTCTGGGAGAACCCGGATTCCCGACACCTGGGAATAAAGTCCGTGCAGCATTGAGAAGCGCAGCGCTGGGCTCCTGCTGTCACTTTAGTGAGTGGCAGAGGTGTGCGAACAACCCAGGAGCCACAGAGAGCCCCACAGTAAGATGGAGCCCTCCGTCGCCCTGCCGGGCCACCGCGCTGCTCCGAGCTGTCCCTAGGGTTCTCCCAGTTTAAGAGCTGAATGCAAAGCAGGCGCCCGAAATGCAGAAGTGCCTGTGTCGCCCAAGGAACCTGCCCCTCTCGGGCGAGAGAGGACGCAAAGCTGAGGTCCCCAACGACCTCGGCGCTAGCTGGGGAGGCGGGCGGGGAGACCGCAACGGGAAGTGCCACGAGGACCAAGGGCCCCAGCGCCCCCGCGCCCTTCAGAAGGGGCCTCGGGCGCGCCGCCTGCCCCCGCCGGGTGCTGGAACCCGCCTCTGGGGAACCGACCGTTGGGCAGGGAAGACGGGGACCCGCTTGGGGTCGGGCACTCCCCCACGCTGTCCGGGCCTCCCAGCCCTGCACCTGCTGCCGGGCCCCGGCTCGCCAGGGAGTCCCGGGAACCCCGGGGATGGGGCGGGGGCGCCTTCCTGTCGCCGCCCTTGGTGCGGAGGGAAGGAAGGACCCCCAGGGGTCGCAGGGGGAAGACGAGCTTGGAGCCACAACTTTCTCCGGCCAGAGGCTGGGCGCGCAGGGGCTGGCTCCTCCGCGGCCCCTGGGGGCTCCGCACGCCCGGGAACCCCCGGCGGCCCCGGGAGGAGAGAGGAGACCAGGGCAGGCGAGGACTGAGGCGCTGACCTGGACCAGGCTGGGAACACCGCGGGAAAACTTTCCGCGAAGCTGAAGGGAGGCCGGGGAGAGAGGACCGGCCCGCGCCCGGCACCTTGCGCCCCACATCCCGCGCCCGGTGCCCCGCGCCCCGAACCTTGCCTGCGTCCAGAGCCGGATGCATCGCCCGCGGAGTTGGAAGGTGGGGGCGCCTCGGCACGGGGGTGGGGGGGGGCGTTGCTCCAGCCCGAGTCCGGGTCTGCGAGCGGCGGGCCCGGCTCAAATCCAGCCCCGCAGCGCAGGCGGCGGCCGCGCGATTGGGGGTCGGGCGCCCCGCCCTCCTCGCCTCCCCTCCGCCCCTCCCGCCCTCTCTCCCGCCCCCCTGCCTTTATCCGTCCCTACCGCGTCCGATCGGCCTCTCTCCCCGTCTTTCTCTAGCTCTCCATCTCTCCCCCGCCCCTCTTCCCTCGCCTTTCTTCCTCCCCGCGTCTCCCGCCCTCCCTCCTCCCCTCCCCTCCCCTCCTCCTGGGGGGCGGAGCCTCTCCCCTCCCTCCCAGACAATGCTGGGGCTGCGCGTCCCCTCCTTCCCCTCCTTCCCTTCTTGCGAGTCGGGGCTCGGGCTGCCAGCGCTTCTTCCGGGCTGGGGAGGCGGGGAGGGGGTAGGAGTGCAGGGGTGGAGAGGATGGACTGGCTCCCCTCACCCCATTCGCCAATGCCCTCTTCAAGCCGGATGGAGTCTTGGCCCAAGTCCCTTGGCTCGCCCCGCACTGTGACAGCCACTCCCAGGGAACAGTCACACTGCCTCGCAGAGCCCACCTCGAGCGCCCCGGATTCCCCAGACAGTGTGGGATTCATTTTCTAACACCCCGCCTTATTCCAAAAGGGGTTTGAGCTGAGCGCGGGCTAAGCAAGCCCCCTTCGACAGGCGGGTGGGCAGACGTTACCGTGAGTGAAGGAGGCCAAGTTTCTTTGTCCACCTCTCACCTCCCTCTCTCATCCATCCCTGGACGGAGGACTCTCAGTGCAGAGGAAGGCTTAGAGCACCCGAGCTGCGGGGCCCCTTATCTATTTCCTTCCTCTTATCACAACCCCCCCCCCCCACCAAATACATGCCGCAACCCTGCAGGGTGAGTCTCCCTGTGTCTAAAAGGAAGGGAGCCTAATGGTTAATGGGTAGCCAACCCCCAGGGTACAGCCGGCTCTGCTCATCCCTCCTAAAAGCCAAACATTCTTTACTAAATTCATTGTTTGGATCTTGGAATGTGTCTCCCTTAGAAACAATGTTATAAATGGTGATGTGCTTCCCAGCCCAGCCACAAAAGCCTTTGAACCCAAAATGCAGCTGTAGGGTGGTGCTGCAAACTGTGTCAGCTACCCTGGAACAAGAAGACCACTGATCGGCGTTTTGTGTAGAAAAAAAAAATTATCTACTTGTACTTTCCCCTTGACCTATAAACACAAAGCTCTCCCATTAATATTCTCCCCTACCCCTCAGCCACTACTCTGTATTGGTAAGCTTCTTTCCTTTGCAGGTAACATGAACACCATCAGGGGACTGTGTTCTGAGGACATGGTGTTTTCTCTAGGACCTCAGGTCAGAACTGCAGGGAGAGCTCAGTAAGAGGCACATCCAGAGCCTGGAGGGCTTCCAGGAACCCAGGAAGTCTTCTCTGAGAGGCCAGCCTTGCGAGCTGGAATCCCTTAGTCGCTACTCCAATCTCCCGAGAGAAGCTCATTGGCCCAGCTCGGGTCAGGTGACCATCCTATGACCAATCAGCTGAGGTGGGTGACTCCTCTTGGGCAAACTGCGGGCAGGAATCCTGCCCTTAGGCGCTGTTTAAAACACAATCCAGGCCTTGGGGCCCCTGTTTGGCTCAGTGGGTTAAGCATCAGACTCTTGGTTTCTGCTGAGGTCACGATCTCAGGATCCTGGGATCAAGCCCCGGTTGTGTTCCGCACTCCTCTGGGAATGTGCAGGAGATTTTCTCTCTCTTCCTCTGCCCACCCCCACTCTCTCTCGCTTTCTGTGTAAAATCTTTAAAAAAAAAAAAAAACAAAACAAAACAGAATTCATTCCCTTCTACTTATATTTTCCATCTTGCTGAATAAATTGATTAATTCAAGGTACCAGAAAACATCTTTCTTTTCATCAATTTCCCCATACAGAAGCCACAGAAGAGAAAGGAAAAGGTTCTTATCCTTCCAGGGAGTGTAGGGATGATACATCTGTACAGATTTAATGCTTCGCAAATATTAAACTGATACATGAAAGCCCACCCTCAAAACGATCTTTTCTTGCCACCGTCCCCCCCTGGGGACTGGCCCGAGAGGCACATGGCTCCAGGGAAGCAGCAGATAACCATTGTCTAGAACCAGTTCTCCAAGAGAAACATAGTGCAAGCCATGGGCGCAATTACAATTTTCTAGCTACATTAAAAAAAAAAAAAGCCAAGTGAAATTAATTTTAATATATTTTATTTAACCCAATATATTCAAAATATTACCATTTCAACATGTAAACAATATAAAGACATTACTCATGAGGTATTTTGCATTCTAGTGGTGTACTAAGGCTGAAATTGGGTGTGTATTTCCACTTCAGCACATCTCAATTCGGACGTTAAATTTTCATCACAAACACTTGATCTGCATTTAGGCTTTATAAAATTTCTATCTGAAAAAGTCGAGTCACATACCCAAGTTGTTCCAGACACACTCTAAAGTTACCCAATAACTGAACTGAGTATATCAGTTTTTACATTTAAATTGTACACCCATGTGGCTTGTGGCTACCATATTGGGACAGTGCAAATTTAGAGAGCCAGGAAGCCACTGACTGACTCAGAGTCTCAAAATCGACTTCCCTCATCTCTTTAGCAAAGCTAGTGGCAGGAATGTCAAGCATGGCCAGAGAGAAAATGATTTTCCAAATTCCTTATGTCTCCACAGAACATCGCAAGAGGCAGGCTTTGCCACTAGATCAGAGTTCTACCACACGCCTGGGGAGAAGGAAGGTATGCAGGGAAGAAATGGAGGCCCAAAGCCCACTCTTAGGTTCCCAGTGGATTCTAGGAGAAGAGAGGAAGAAGCAGGAGACAGACAGACAGTCGGAAGGAAAGGTTGCATCCTCCCTGATTGTGACCTTTGACCAGAGTGAGGAGGCATGTCACTGGGTTAAGGGAAGTTCTGAGGAGATTGCCACGTGGGCTGCCTACCTCCTTCTCCCCTGTTCTCGGGAACTGACCTAGGAGAGGGGGCCGCCTCTTTAAAGTCAACTTAGTGGACCACCATGGTTATACAGAGATAGGGCCTGGATTTAGTTTCTGGAGTCACCTGTAAGTGCTGTGTGGCACAGACATGATGCAGAAGTTCCCACCTGCTCCCCAGGACCAGGGGCCTCAGAAGGAGGCTAACTTGTGAGTCCCAGGGTTTTCCATGGGAACTGTCTTAGTCTGAGTTCTCTCAAAAACAGAACCTGAGATAAGGACTTGGGTGCCTCCCTTACTTGGAGTTGATCCCAGAAAGCAAAGAAGTGAGACAGGCCTGGAGGAGAAGCTAATAAAGGGTGTACAACGGGGGCTCCGTTCCTCTGGGGTCCCTTTGAGGAACTGTGTGAAACATGCCTCAGAACTGTCCTCTCTGAAGGTCAGGGGGCTGGGGCATTTATCTCATCCCAGTTGAGGATGACTCCCAGGAAAGCTTACTTCTTCTTACTTCCTGGTTGTGTGGACTTCTTTGGCCTCAAGGAAACATCTGAGGCAGAAAAGCAGGAGCCACTGCCTTTGTCACTGGAGGTGTGATGAGTCGTTGTGCATGAAGCTGTCCACCACAGCTCTGCCGGGGTGAGGGGGGCTGAGGGGGTGTGACACAGAACACACAAATCATCTGCTCTAAGACCCAGCGTGGAGAGGGGCAAGCGGACCCTGGAGGCTAGGTCAGGGGCTGACAGGAGGACGTGACGGGGACTCCAAGGGAACACTGGTGAGAGAACATTGGTTAACGTCTTCGTCGGGGAAGTCAGGGAGCACTGCAGAACTCTGAAGGAGAAGGGAGCACCCAGTCCATGAGGTACACAAGCCACAGGCATCAGCGGTCAAACACTCAGGAGTGGGGCCATCACCCCTCAGCGTTCTGCTTTCCAGGGATGATCCAGAGCAGACTTTCTGCAGGGAGGCCCAGGGAAGACCCAGAGGCATCATCTCACATTCCACCACAGGAAGAACTGGGGAAGTCTCTAAGGAGACCAGAGAGACTGTTTGGATTATTGCCTCAGACTCCATTTTTTTCCATCTGCTATCCAGGAGGTAAGAATCTACAAAAGAATATCTAATGAGTTGTAGAGAAAGAAGACTAAGGGAGGTCTGCCACTGGGCCCCAAATATATCTGGACTTGTCTGGCACACTAGCATGGTGGGCTGGCTGGAAATCTATTTGCTTGGGAGGCAAAAAAAGTCCTCCTGGGAGATCATTTTCATTCCAAGAAAAGAAGAAACCATGTTTGGTTTGGTCCAGTAACAGAGTTTTAGTTGCCGGAAGGAAGATGAAATTGTCCCTCAACTCTGCCCCCAACTTGGCCCTCCGGACACACCAGGGATCCTAGGAAGGTAGAAGCTCTATGTTACAACTCAAAGAACTGTTTCATAAACTGCAGGGAGACTCTGGGGTCCAAGCAGCTATGCACGGGGGACCCTCCTGCTAAGTAACACTTGAGAGACCTACACTCCACTCAGCTTCTCCATTTCAAGGGCTTGGTATGTTGACATTACCCAGAAAGTGGTAGATGGATTACCACAACAGTCACAATTATTCCCCTCCCTGCAAATATTTGGCAGTTCCTCCCACAAAAAGGGGGAGCCTACTTCCCACCTTGAATCTGGGTTGACACTGTTGCTTTGGCCAATAGAATGTGGCAGAAGTCACACTGTACCTTTTCAGAGCCTGACATCAAGAAGCCTTGCATTCTTCTCTCTCCACTGGAACATTACTCTGCCATGTGAGTAAGCCTGAGCTAGCCTGCTGGAGGGTGAGAGATCTCATGACCCAGAGCCAAAGCAACCCAGCTGTCCCAGCCAAGGCCCCCCAGACATGTGAAAGATCCAACCAAAATCCATAAAACCCAATTCAGAGTTGACCGCTGATGCATGAAGGAGCCCAGCTAAGTCTAGCCCAGATAGCCAAACAGTACAAGCATGAGCTAAATACATGGTTGTCATCTTAAGCCACTCAGGTCCGCGTTGTTCCTTATACAGCAGTGGCTGTTAAAGAACTTAATAGGATAAAAAAAAAATGGTAATTCTGGGCAGTGATGGGTGTGCTAACTAACCTTACTGGAGTAATTGTTTTGCAATATACACATACATCAAATCATTGTGCTGTACACCTTAAACTTACATAATGTTGTATGTCAATTATATCTCAATAAAGCCGGAGGGGAAAACACAAAAAATAAAAGCCTTTAATACAAAGGAAGGAAAAGA